TAATAAGCTTACACATAGTAGCTGATTTAAAAAATTCAAGCACATCTTCTGCAATCTCCTTCCATACAATAACCCGAGCGTTTTTTTTAAAAGTGTGCATTCAAACCATCACAACATGAGGCCTTATCATCATTTATATCCCTCATAGCCATTTTTACCTCCTCCCTTGTAATTAGTGTAATTAGGTTTAGTTATTGGCTTCTATTCAATACAGAACCTTCACTTATCACGCTTGGCTCAATGGCAGGAAGTTGCTCAGCAGCTGTCTCTAGCAGTCTTCTATAAAATCCAATGATTTCTTATTCAATCTCTACCTCCGTATTAATCATAATTACATTTGAATCCATCAATCTTCTGATTTCGTTCAGAACCTGTCTATTCCTCATGGAAGCAAAAAAATAATTAGTATTAGAATTACCAATGTTTAGCTAATGCACTCTAGACGTTTCCTTTGAAATAGCTTACTCAACCAGTCTCCATTTTTCTAGAGGCTAGGATGGTAGCTGTAATCTACCATTTGCGATCGTAGATCTTTTAGCTTTTCTCTTATATTGTTGATCTTCTTATAATTGTCAGAAAATATTTTTTTGTTTAACTTTTTCAGCTCCTGCTTGATACTTTTCAGTTTACCCCATTCATTTGCATAGATTGAGCTCGCACAGGTAATATTAGTTAACCCTAATATTCCCTATATAAATACACATACTGTGTACACTAAAAACTACTCTAAGCAGTAATTTTTCACGCTCTCTTCTCCCATATCAGACGAGGGGTTTAGATTGTGATATAGGGGTTGCTCCAACACACCGTGACAATCACCGCTGACCAGTAATTCCAGTCGTGGTTCATCTGTTCTTTCCTCTTCCGCTACACGAACAAGTAAGTTCTCGTTTTACGACTTACGCGCTATCTAATGTGTTTAGATTAACGCGTTCCTTCATTAGTATCAGAGCCATAGGCTGGTTTTCTAGTCCGAAAAATATATTAGAATGGTTCTATTACTCTGAGTGAATCTAAGAACTAAGTGTCTATATTTTTTGTGTACTATGTGCAATTGGGCTGCCTAAAATTGTCTTATACAATGATTTAGAATAAAAATTTGTACTAGTGTATAAATCTTTTACCGTTGTTTTTGAGTAAATCAGTGAATGATTGTTTTGGATGAAATTAATTTTTTTTTACTGATTTGAAAAAAGTTTTATATCAGTCTTTGAAATTTTTTTTATCTGAAATTCTTTTGGTCAGTTTTTCTTAAGAAACTGATCCAGCGAAAAACAAAAAAAAGGAATTTTTTTTAAATGTTCCGTTGAAAGCCGCTAAAACGTCCATTGCCGGCCACCATCAAACGGATGGTGGCTTCTCTTGAAACCATTTAAGAGTCGGTTTGAAACCGATCCTAGGGTTTTGCCGGCCAAACAAACACACACATATATATGTAGGAGCTTTGTGCTCCAATGGCTATGGCAAAACATTAGAGATGGAAAAGAAGAAGAAACATGTGTTTTTCTTCTTTTACAAAGAGCAGCGGCTTCAACAATAAAAGAGGAAGGAGATGAAGCAATGGCTTCCCTTCTGTAAATGTCAAAACAGAGATGGAAAGGAAGAAGAAAGAAAAAGTCTTCTCTCTTGCAAAGTCCATGAAAGTGGCGGCTGTGAATTAAGAGAAAGGGGAGAAGAAATTTAGGGTTTCTTTCTCCTTTAAAATCTGCTTTAATAATAAATAAATAAATAAAAAACGTGGGAAGCCTCTATGCTGAAGTTAAAGAAGCATGGACTTCTTTTCTTTTTTTTGAAGTTTGGGCTTCAAATGTTGCATGACTCCTTTTCTTTCAAAGTTGACGGATTTAGTAATTGGGCTAAAGGCCCACCCGAAATTGGCCTGTTTGTTTGTGGCAGATTTAAGACATTGGGTTAATGTCCCACTTTTATATGTCTTGTTTAATTTTATTTTGGGCTAATGGCTCAACTAAAAAATTTAAATTAAGTTCCGTTTTTTAAAAATTTTAAATTTCGGAAATTAGTCATATAGACTTAATTTTCAGAATATAAATTTAGTATTTATATTATTTCATGAAAACTATAGTTGTTTTATTATCCGATTTGCTTGAAATGTTAACTATTTTAACATTAAACTTGTTTGTTAATTTGTTTAACATGCTTTAAAATGTTAATTTTTTTAACATAATATTTATTTGTTAATTTGTTTAACATTAAATTTATTTATTAATTTGTTTAACATGCTTTAAAATGTTAATTTTTTTAACATAATATTTATTTGTTAATTTGTTTAACATTAAATTTATTTATTAATTTGTTTAACATGCTTTAAAATGTTGATTTATTTAACATTATGTTAATTTGTGTAACATGCTTAAAATGTTAATTTGTTTAACATGCTTTAAAATATTAATTTATTTAACATGCTTAGAATGTGTCACGACCCAAAATCTCACCCGTCGTAATGGCGCCTATCTCGATACTAGGCAAGCCGTTAATGTCACTAAACCACAATTTTTTTTTATGTTTGAAAATATAATATGTAAATACAATACAAAATCTCCCAAATACAAATACGAATACTCCCCAAAACCTTGTGTCACTGAGTACATGAGCATCTAATATGAATACAAATCTGAAAAAGTACGGTCTACAATAGTCTAAGACCTAAATACAGTGATACAGAGATAGGGAAGGAGAGACAAAGTCTGCAAAACACGGCAGTTACCTCTGAATCTCCGAAAAATCAGCTATACGGAAGAATCAACACCCGCTATATCCGGAAACACATGGATCTGCACACGAAGTGCAGGGTGTAGTATGAGTACACCCAATTCAGCAAGTAACAATAATAAATAAGGAACTGAAGATAGTAACGAGCTACACAGTTATGGTTCATTTCCAGTAATCCCAGCAAAGAATAGACATGTTATCAAATCTGGCAGTTTAATGTCAAATCAATTTTTTATACAGTTCCTGTTCATGTAATCTGTATATCAACAATCTTTCATAAATTTCACAACAATGGCAGATAGCAACTAAATGCAACAACAAATGGAATTCAAGTACAACCTCTCAGAACAGTAATCACTCACTGGGCTCCCAGCCCTCATCACTCCCGGGCTCCCATCCCTCATCACTCACTCAATGGGTACCCGCGCTTACTAGGGGTGTACAGACTCCGGAGGGGCTCCTACAGCCCAAGAGCTATAATCTGCACGGACAACTCACGTGCCATAATATAAATATCTGGATACACACGACCAACTCACGTGGCATAGTATAATATAAGGATCCACACGGCCAACTCACGTGCTATAGTATAATATAAGGATCTGCACGGCCAACTCACGTGCTATAGTATTAATATCTCACAATCAGGCCCTCGGCCTCACTCAGTCATAAATCCCTCCAGTCTCTCGGGCTCTCAATAATCATGAAATCAGCCCAAACAACAATGATATGATGTATTAATAATAATAACAGAGACTGAGATAAAATGTGCAAGTAAAAACTGAGACTGAGTACATATAGCATTTAGCTGGCAATTCAACAAGCACGCGCCCTCTGTAGGTCCCAACAGTACTATCACATAGCCTAAGCATGATTTCTAACATGATTTACAGTCAAATTTTATCAACACATAGAGAGCATATAACTAACAACAAATTACTCAACTTTACAGTTTCCCGGGACGGACCAAGTCACAATCCCCTCGGCGCACGTCCGTCACCTAGCATGTGCGTCACCTCCAAAATAATCACATGATACCAAAATTCGGGGTTTTATACCCTCAAGACCAGATTTAAAACTGTTACTTACGTCAAGCCGTGAAATTCTTATTCTGCAATGTCCTTTCCTCGTGAATTGGTCTCCAAACGCCTCGAATCTGGCCATAAATAATTCGTTTCAGTCAAATGAATTCATTGGAATTAATTCCATAAGAAAATAATAATTTTCCATAAAAATCCAAAAATTAGCTCAAAAATCTCCTGTGGGGTCCATGTCTCGGAACCCGACAAAAGTTACAAAATCCGAAAGCTCATTCCACTACGAGTCTAACCATACTAATTTCACCAAAATCCGACATCAACTCGACCTCCAAATCATCAAATCTTAATTTAAAACCCCCGATTTACACCTTAAAAACATGTAATCTAGTCGGATTATTCGATATTAATTCAATATTATGGAGTAGAAATGATCACAAGGGACTTACCTCAAGTTTTTCCATGAAAACCTTGCTCAAAATCTCCCAACCCGAGCTTGAAATGCCCAAAAAGGGCAAAAGCTCGGAACCCCTCTGTTTTTGTACTGCCCAGAAGTTTTCGCACCTACGGCAACTTGGCCACTTCTGCGCCAACCGCATGTGCGAAAAAATCCCGCATTTGCGCCTTTTCCTGCATTTGCGCGCCTATTTGCACTCCTGCGCAAGCCGCTTCTACGCGCGTCCCTCCGTATCTGCGCTCATGCAGGTGCGGAATTTCCCTCGCACCTGCGACCACTTCTCCATAGTCCATTTGCTCATTTGCGCTTGCCAGGCTCGCTTCTGCGAACTCGCACCTGCGATGGAATATCCGCAGGTGCGATTGCAGCAGAGGGCAGAAACTTCAGCTATTTCTTCTAAGTCCGAAATTTGATCTGTTAACCATCCGAGACTCACCCGAGGCCCCCGGGACCTCAACCAAATGTACCAACAAGTCCTAAAATATCATACGGACTTAGTCGAAAACATCAAACAACGCTAAAATCATTAATTACACCCCAATTCAAGCCTAATGAACTTTGAAATTTATAATTTTATAAATAACTCTGGAACCTATCAAATCACATCCGATTGACCTCAAATTTTGCACACAAGTCATAAATGACATAACAGAGGCAGTGTTTTTAAGAGCGAGAAGCGCAAAAAAGCGACAAGGGCTCGCCTCGCTTCAAAAGCGAAGCGCAAAGCGAAGCGCACGCTTTATTAAAGTGAAGCGCAATTCTTAAAAAACACAATGTAAACCTTGCAAAGACACAATATAAAATTATAAATAATCAAAAAGTTCAAATTGTCAAAATCAAAGCTACTAAATTACTAGAATCAACCTCTTATTCTTCTACTCTTCTTGTTCTTCTTCAAGATTGTCAAAATCTTGAATTCCTCTATTATCTTCATATTGCTCGTCATCTTCCTCCTCTCCCTCCTCTTCCTCTTCATGATCACTTTCATCTTCATCAATTAGGGATAGGGATCGACTTGTAGTAGCCACACTTTTTCCCTTCCTAATCGAGCTTGAACTTGAAGTATTCCCCCTTAAACCATAAGGATTCTCCCCAACTCCACTAGCAACCGCAACATCACCCCAAGTGAAATTAGAATCGCCTTCAAATACTTCTTCATCTTCACAATTTTCGGGGACTCCGGTTAGCCACTCATTAGCCTCATCAATATTGTCCAAAAGAATTGGATCAATTAGATTGCGGTGGTTGTAGCGACGCCTCAATGCTCTATTGTATTTTATGAACCCTAGATTATGGAGGCGCTTCAAGGTTAATCGATTCCTCTTCTTTGTATGAATCTGCAAACAAGATGTGTCAACTAATTAGTAGGAGTTGGGACAATGAGATATAATTTACTTTATCTCAAAACACGAAATAATTCTTTTTATTTCTCACGTGTTCAAAAACGCTCCAGTTCCTTTCACATCCGGATGAGCTACAAGTTAAACTTAGAACTCTGATGGCGAAAGTCTGTAAATCCGGAGTCTCTACACCATATTGGTCCCACCACTCAACTATAGAAGTGAAAAAAAAAATTCAAGAGTTAATAAGTATAAAAAATACATTAAAGTTAGAGCTATAAAATATAGAAGCACTTGGTCACCTGGCGATTTCGTCTTTCTTTGTTTAATAGCAAGTCGGAGCTTAAAAAGTCCCTCAGCTGCCTTGTAAATAGCAAGCTGATCCACTATCCTTTCTTGCATGTCTTCATCTGGGGTCAACTTGATAACAACCTCATGGAATCCTGTCCATACTTCTCTAGCCAATGAATTATTCTCATGCTGATCATAAAAGAGTGACGGGTTCAGAATAAGTCCAGCTGCATGCAAAGGTCTATGAAGTTGCTCACTCCATCTTGCATCAAAGATCTGAAAGACCTTTGCATATTTCTGCTCATCAGTGAATGATGCTTGAATAGCCTCCTTGGTCCTATCCATAGCTTCATAGAGGTAGCCCATTGGTGGTTTTTGCTCCCCATCCACCAAACAGAGTNTACTTTAACCAAAGGGCCACCAATTTTAAGAGCGTGAAGGACATTATTCCAAAAAGAATAAGAAAGAATAATGCGTGCAACATCTTTCCCTGCACTTTCCTTTGCAAATTTACTCTTGCTCCATTCCTCTGAAGTGAACAACTTTCTCAAATTGAATTTTTGCAAGTGGATACTATGTAAAGTCAAGAAAGTAGTGGCGAACCTTGTCTTGCCCGGTTTCACCAAATTTTTTTGTTCGGTGAATCTTCTCATCATATTCAATAACAAGGGCCGTTGAGAAATATAAGAATGTACCCTAACGCCCTGGCCAAAACTGTAGAGAAGGGTTTTTCCTTGAAAATGTCCCCGAAGATTAAGTTGATACAATGAGCCGCACATGGAGTCCAATAGACATTCTTGTATGCTCCTTCCACCATGCCACCCGCTTTCACATTTTCACTCGCATTATCAGTGATCACTTGAATAACTTTGCTTGGGCCAATCTTTTCAATGGTGTTCTGAAACAAGGTGAACATTTTGATGTGGTC